ATGTGGATTGGTGGGTTTTCGAGTCTGAACGCTGATGTGGCATGTATGCTAATGTGGACGGTGTGCATGATGAGAGAATAGGAAGTAGTGGGGAGCAACTTCTTAAGAATGGTAGATGGGAAAAAATTGATAATTAAAAAAAGTCAAAACAGTTTGGAAGTTTTTACAATAAAGTTGACTTTATTTGCACTTGTATATAATTTTTCATGAATAGAAAACCAGAGTTGACTTCATGGCAGAAAAAAAACTATTTGCTATTATATACGTCACTATTCACACTATTTTGACTGATTTTTTTTTCTTTTTTGGAAAGAAGTCAACGAGATATTTTCTTTCCGTGAATTTTTTTACGAGTACAATGGTAGGTCAAGTTTATTTCAAAATATATCCAGAATTTATTGACTCTTTATTTAATCACTAATGTTTTTTCCATATTGGGATGTATATATACACACATAGATCAAAAATTCAGAATGACTAATTCTCATCTAGATGTTTTTAAGAATGTCACATCTAACTGTTTTTTTTTCTTCAACGCAGGTGCAACAAGCGCATCCAGCATCGCTAGCTCGCAGCACAGCGATCGCATCCGGCATCGCTCGCTGGCAGCGCTCGCCTGTTGCGGGGTGGGCTTTCTTTTTTTTTTTGGGCCGAGTCTGTTGCTGGCTTTACATTTTCTGTTTTTGGGCCGCGCCTGTTTTGTGGGCTTTCTTTTTTTTTGGGCCGCGCTTGTTGCGGGTTGTCTTTTTTTTTTGCCGCGTCTGTTGCTGGTCGTTAGTTTTCGTTTTTGGGCCATTTTTGGTTTTGATTTTTGAATTTTTTTTTGCGTACAACACATGGGACATTTTTTAAAAATAGATACCTTTTTCACTCATTTTTTCTTTTTCTATTTTTTTGTGGATACATAAAATGCCAGATAGGGTTGCTACAAGCTTGAACATCGTCAAAAAAGGAATGTCTAAGCTTTGTCTAGTCAATAGGTCCCCTGTTGCATGTCAAGCATCGGCTCGCAACTAGAGTGTGTGTGTGTCTGTATGTGTGTTTTATTTGTGGCCCCCAGTTGCAAGTTCACCATCAACTCGCAACTAGGGGATGTGTGTATGTGTGTCGAGGGTCCCCAATTGCATGTTGATAACCGACTCGCGACTAGAGTGTGTGCGTATGTTTGTGTGTGTCGAGGGTCTCCAATTGCATGTCGATAAATGACTTGCAATTAGGGGTGTGTGTCTTTTTGTTAAGGGGTCCCGAGTTGCATGTCAAGCATCGACTTGCAACTAGGGTGTGTGTGTTTGTATGTGTGTTTTATTTCTGGCTCTCCAGTAGCAAGTTGACCATCAACTCACAACTAGGGGATGTGTGTGTGTAGGGTCCCCAATTGCATGTCGATAACCGACTTGCAACTAGAGTGTGTGCGTGTCTGTCATTTTGTCAAGGGGTCCCCAGTTGCATGTCAAGCATCGACTCGCAACTAGGGGGGATGTGTGTGTTTGTTGACGACCCCTTGTTGCAAGTTGACCATCGACTCGCAACTAGGTATGTGTGTATGTGTGTGTGTCTCTGTGTGTCTTTATTCGTGGCCCCCAGTTGCAAGTTGACCATCAACTCGCAACTAGGGCTTGTGTGTCTATATGTGTGTTTTATTTATGGCCCCTCCAGTTGCAAGTTGACCATCAACTCGCAAATAGGGGACGTGTGTGTGTGTGTGTCGAGGGTCCCCAGTTGCATGTTGATAACCGACTTGCAACTAGAGTGTGTGCGTGTTTGTCATTTTGTCAAGGGGTCCAGTTGCATGTCAAGCATCAACTCGCAACTAGGGGGATGTGTGTGTTTGTTGACGACCCCTAGTTGCAAGTTAACCATCGACTCGCAACTAGGGATTTGTGTGTGTGTATGTGTTTTGTCGTGGGTCCCGAGTTGCATGTCGATAATCGACTCGCAACTAGAGGTGCGTGCATGTGTGTGTCTTTTTGTCAAGGGATCCCAGTTGCATGTCGACCACCGACTCGTAACTAGGGTGTGTGTGTGTCTGTATGTGTGTTTTATTTGTGGCCCCTAGTTGCAAGTTGACAATCAACTCGCAACTAGGGGGGGTGTGTGTGTCGAGGGTCCCCAATTGCATGTCGATAACCGACTTGCAACTAAAGTGCGTGCGTGTTTGTCATTTTGTCAAGGGGTCCCCAGTTGCATGTCAAGCATCGACTCACAACTAGGGTGTGCGTGTTTGTTGAGGACCTCCAGTTGCAAGTTGCCCATCAACTCGCAACTAGGGGGGTGTATGTCTGTATGTGTGTTTTATTTGTGGCCCCCAATTGCAAGTTGACCATC